GAAAAAAAAAAAAAAAAAAAAAAAGAAGAAGAAAAAAAAAGCATGGCCCCTGTGCAAGGATGGCGCGCATAAATCTAGAATGGGCCAAATGTCCCAATTTGTTTTGAAAAGAAAAAGGAAATTTTATGGCTTGTGTTGACTTGTCTTTTGAATGGTTGTATTTCTAGGTTGTGGTTCTTCCTTCCGTGGACCGTTCAGTCGACAGCCAGAAGGCCCACAACCAAGGCAGCATGGAAGGGGGTGTCCTTACTAAGGAGAGGAATATTTGTTGTGACAGGGAGAGGAAGATTAGTTGTGACAGGGAGCACATACCATATCCTGCCTTGTCACCGTGGCTTGAGGAGAAGGAGAATAGAAAGCATAAGCTTGAGTTCGTATCTGCTGCAGGGAATGTCCTTGATCGTCCAGAATTGCTTGATGTCACATTCGTCTGCGAGGGTGGAAAACAGGTGCGAGCAAATCGAGCGCTGTTGGCAATCGGAAGTGAGTACTTTTGCAAGTTGTTTTATGGCGAGAGGAGGGATGGTTCAACGGACACAGTAAATCTTCCCACTGCAAGAGCAGGTGGTCTCCGCATTGTGGTCAGTTACCTGCACTGCCGCCCGTTTGCATGGAGCTCTGACAGTTGCTGGGATGATTTCATCGATGCATACTGTTTGGCAGCTGAGTATCAGGTCGACAGCTTGTGCAAAAGAATCTTACTCCTCATCTCCACGCTCGGTTATCCATGCGAGCTTGGCGATCTGCTAAACACTGCAGTCCGGCGGCAAGCACAAGCCGAGGAAGTGCTCAAGGCTGCAGCCAAAGTATTGAGCCAAGTTATGGCCTTTGATTCGTCGACGTTCAAAGGGTGGAGCAAGGAGAGCATCCTGTACTGTCTGGAAAATGTGCGATTCCATCCGAATGTGACGGAGACAATGGTTGCTGAATCTGTTCTCTGCGCAGCGTCGAACGTCAGTCATGTTACCGTTGGTCACGGGCCCCATCCTACCCAAGGGAATCCTCATTCTATTCAAGGGGATCTTCATTCGACGCAAGGGAATCTTCATCCTACGCTCGGAAATCATCATCCTACGCAAGGGAATCTTCATTCGTTGCAAGGGAATCTTCATTCGACGCAAGGGAATCTTCATCCTGCGGAAGAGAATCATTATGTGCATGTATCTGCAGTGGGGGATTCTGCTGCTGAGGAACGAGGAGGTCCATTATCGAGGGAGGACTTGCAAAAGATATTTGAATGCCACATCAACCTTGCATTTGTTGAGCCCTTGTGTGTGAGGAACAGGATCGAGCCCCTGGGAATCTTACGACGCGAGGTGCTCGCTGAAGTGTACAGAGTGCAGTCCATCTCCCTCTCAAGAGGATCGTCAACGAAATCGCTCTTTACGATACCGTGGCGTTCTCTAGTTCCAAAGGTGTCATTCGTGCCTGTGGATAAAGAAGAAGGCGGAGTTAGTAGTTCTTACGCCTCGATCTCGATCCCAAGTTTTTGGGCCTTCGATTCCGAGACAACGTACACGACTCCGGACGAGCTACCCCAGCAAGTTGAGTGCTGCGATGATATGGGAACGGCAATAATGCGGCTGCCTCTTGACAGTGGTTTGCACATTTGGAGAATCCAAGTAGTGAAGGCGAGTGCGGGTTTCAAAGTTGAAGTTGGTGTCGTTCCAGCAGAGGGAAGTGACGAGTCTGGTGTGCCGCAATGGGAAGACGGCTGGGCGATTCACGGAGACTTGTCGGATGCAGAAGCTGCGACGGACTTGCATAGGTTCGTTGATTTTAAGTACTCGGATGGATTCGTAGCCTCATCTGGGATTCAGAAGTTCAATAAATCTGGGGATAATGTATTTGTGGTACTGGACATAGTGAAGCGATCACTGACCTTTGCCAATAGACTAGAGCACTATCTCGAACGCAGTGGAGATTATCCTGCTGCCTTTTCAGACCTCGCATGTGATTTGCCGCTGCATCCGCTTTTGTGGATGAGAGGTGTAGGATGTGTTGAGATAGAATGGATTCAAAGTTCCCCTCGCCCGAAATTTGTCCGGGCGATGCGTGCATGATAAACTGAAGGTTTGTGGTGTTGGTTTGGAACATTGTCCATGATCCTTCTTTAGTTCGATCTCTTTGAGTTGCCTTTTTTCTTGTAGCACTAGCTCATTTGGAGCACTAGACAAGTCCGACAACTCTCCGATGAAGCAAAACGCAAAGTCGTGAAGTTTTGTGGAGCCATATGACTGCTTGGATGCATCTGTCAGAAACCGTCCTGGATGATTGTCGAAAAGGCATCACAGATGCCTAACTCTCCAAGGACTGCAGATGGTCAGACAGGCCAGTATGGATGGTTGTTAAGCACACTGCACACAGCTATGTGATGCGTTCACATACACTGCTGTGTGTGTGTGTGTGTATGTTTGTTTTGTGAGGGGAGAGAGAGAGAGAGAGAGAGAGAGAGAGAGAGAGAGAGAGAGAGAGAGAGAGAGAGAGAGAGAGAGAGAGAGAGAGA